CAAACGTACTTTCTAGAAGCTTGTTCATATTTAGTGCGATGGTTGCTCCAGTTTAAAAAAAATCTCCATAGGCGAGTCGCACTTGCGAGTAAAGGATTCTGTACCATTATCTATGAAAAACGCAAAAAATCTGGTTTGTTGAGCCGCCCATTAATATTAGATCCTTACTTGAAACTCGTAAATAACACGATATTTCAAGTTTTCCATTTTTTTTATACTGGGTGACGTAAATAGGACAAATAGAAGAAAAAAAAAAAACAAATGAATACCGCCTAATAAAACACAAATACATGTAAATATAAGTAAATGGCTGTATAAATTTGAATTTGGAATTCCCAACCAAGGAGGAGAAATTTGTGATTAAAGTGTCCAGTACGACAAAACGCCAATTTCATATGTAAGGAGCTAATATTAATTTTATTTTATTTTTTAGTATTTGTTGTTATAGCGGTAACAGAAATACAAAATCTGTGAAAATTGTGAAAAACTATCTATGACGGTCCATGAGACACAGTTTGGTAACAGACGAGACAAACAGAGGAGTATTAGTAATAGGGTGTTCGTTTTTGTCCTTTGGATACTGATACCTAAAAGGCGTTTCGTGGCTGCAATGGAAAATATCTCATTGCCACTTTTATTAGATAGTGATATCTCAAAAACGTTTAATTTAAGAGTTACATAAAGTCCAGAAATCATCCTGAACGTGATGGGGAATACTGTTTCACCTTTCACAAATATCTCATGTGTAGATTAGCAGTTGAATATTATAATTAGGTCAACTGATATACTTTTACTCTTTGGATTTCATTCGATATCAGGTTTCGGTTAGTTGGTATTTTTCGATATAGATATATCGATAGCGCTGTTTCTTCAATATCGACATATATCGATATTTTATTTTTGGGAGTAGATAACGATATATCGGTTTTCCTATATATCGTAGCGTCCTAGTTCTTTGCAGGCTAGGCAAAGAAACATAACATTTGTCAATTTGTCGGTCTCTAGTGACGTAGGCAGAATTAATTGACCATCAGAGAGCAATTTATCATAATTTCCGACTTCTTTTATTAATGTTAAATATTAAACAGATTCACGTACATTGTTCAGATTCCAAAATGAGTAGGTAAAGTCCCGTAATATGGAGTATCTGAGACAACGAAGGTATCACAACACCCAGACCCGAGATATATAAAAGTTCACTTTTTATATTGACCCGACCGGGAATCGAACCCAGGACCTCAGAGATGGCGACACCTAGAAACCGCCGTGCGAACCACTCGGCTACGAAGGTAGTCGATTAATCGACTTTAATATGGATGTGCATAATATTTTAGACATTAATTTATTTCAAAATTGTTTCACTGGCACTTATTGTTCCCGAGTAACATGCATGACAACATTTTAATATAAGATATCAGACTCCCAGAGGAAAACCCCAACTGAGTTAATAGGGAGTCATTTAAGTATGGTGTGTAAAGTTGTTTGAATTTTTGTACTTTTTAGAAAGTGTCAGGTTACTATTTAAGCTTTTTGAAGTGTTAAGCGTTCACGAAAATAAAATAACTCGTAGGAAAGGAGACATTTATTATCTTTCATTATTTATATACGATATTTTTGTTTACAAGTAATCATGGCTACAACCACTCAATGTACTAAAACTATATACAATGATATAAATTATATATTCACTTATTACATAATATTTACATCACACAATGTTTTTCTAATGTGAGAAAATACAATTCTTGATAAATACACAAGTTATTTTGTTGAAAGTAGTAGAAAAGACTATCTAAATAAGTATTGGATAGTCTAACTTAACGAATAAAATGTTAGATTTTTAACCAAATTCAAAAAAGGTGGTTATTCAAAACTACATTTGTTTAACACTCAGTTTCAGAAACATCTATTCAGGTTTAATGAGGAGCTCTAGTGAATATTCTAAATTTGAAAACATGTATCAGTAATATCACCAATGAGTTTTAAGAGATGTTTGTGGAACTGGGTGTTTTTTTTTTATATTAACAAAGTAGGAAATTATCGCGATCCAGCGTTAAATGTATCTTAATAAAAGTTCGTACACTGCCATTAAAACAATTTGTCAGGAGACAGCGGCTCCGATATTTTTTAAATTAAGTTGGTCTCAAATACAAGAAGTAAGCTGTGACAAAAGTTTAAAAAAAAATCAAGATCATTATTCTGTCTATTTTATTACTATTTACTCATTTTAGTACTGACTGAATTCTAATGGAAATCTTTTCACAAGGAAATAGCAAAATAGCAACAGTGTCTTACAATTTTCATCACTCTTTTATAATATAATAAAGTATGGAAATAATTTGTTAAACGTTTATTGGCGGTTGAAACGATTAAAATCGTGGCAAAGTATGGGACAAAGCGATGAAAATATAAACATATTGTAAATATGCAGGTGCAGTTTGAGCTTCATCACACTCTTATGTGAAGTACATATCTGTATTTATCAGAAATAGGGGTATAGAGAGTAAACGGAAATAAATACATATTATTTTTTCTCTCGTAGTGCTTGATATACTATTACCGATAATCACACTTTTATCCTTATTATATTTGTAATATTGCTTAAACTAATTATGAACAAAACAAATATTTTATACTCCGCAAGCAGCGCATGGCGTCTCGCCCTTAATACTCATTATCAACAAGGCGATTCTGTAAAAATAAGTACTCGAATTCGAATTCACTCATGCGATTCCACGTCATTTACTGAAGAAATTCTATTGATTGCATTTTTGTATAAAAATAAACAAAACTGATTGATTCCTATGTCTCAAATTCCTATATATTTCGAAACTGACTTCAGTTATGCCACGAAACGTTATTATAAATTCAAGGTTGAGCGGATGCCGCATTTTGAGGTGAATATGGACACCTGAGTTATTTCGAATTGGATTTTTACAAAATCGAATGGCTGAACCTTAATTTGTTTCAGAGTGCCGTGACTTTATAACGACGACATGACAGAAGTGGTATCATCGCGGGAAATTTGAAATTTAAATTTATTTTTAGACTTTGACTTATGATATTTTTTTATATATTTTTAGATAGAAATCATGTATCTCTATAAAAAAAAATGTTGTCTACACCCCTGTTCTATTCTGTCACATAAACTATCTCGCACATGACGGTGATTGTAACGCTGTCAGAGCGCAGAAGTGAAACGATTCAAATCAATGTGAAAAAGTAATATAAGTTCATTATACAGCAGCGTCGAGCTACAGCCTAGAGCTTCAATTTATTGAAGCTTCATTGAAGGCTGTTTTACAACAGAATAGCATAGTAGAAAGCCATTAGCCATTTGCATTAATATTATTTAATTAACGGCGTTATTTACGAAAAAGGACTTTTAAGGACGCATCCTGCTTAACTATTTATACAGATTGATAATAATTTAGTAAAATTTAAACATACAATGGCAAAATTGCCCAATAAATTGAATGTAAAAATACATATTTTCATTGACGTAATTATAAAAATTAAATAGTTAAAAAACAGTTTTGAGAGTTGAGATATGGCAACATCAAAACAACACACGCCTACATTTTTTAATTGTTTAAATACATAATGTACAATTAAAGCTTATATAAAATAATCTAATTTTTAAGGGATGTAAGTAACCACTCGCATTTTTATAAATAAAATATCTTTCCTTACATTTAACATTTTTTACATTCATCAATAATTCAGAAAAATCAATTACACATTGTGATCTCATTTTAATTAAGAATGCTTAAACTATGTTAATTTACGATAATAATTACGTATTGCTTTTAGTGAGCTACCTTAATGAATTTTTTATATAGTTATGTACACACAGCATTATATCAAGTTAATATTAAGACCAATTTTAATAATTTCAAAGTATTTCGAAGTAACTATCAATAAATTAAAACTTGAAATTGATGGAAAAGAAAACAAATATGAGTAAGGTAGTGCCGCTTTATAACATCCACTATTATCGAATGTCTTATTAATAAAAAAAAATGTTCGAAAAAGAGAGTACTTAAAAAGATTTCGACGGACTTAAAAAAGGAGGCCCTTCTTAATTCGGCAGAATTTTTTGTATGTAGTAACATACCAAGATATGTTCGTTAGCAGTGGACTCAATCTGATGATTTTTCTTTTTGTTTAAAAAAGATATATGCTTGAGGAGGTGCCGTTAAAATTTTACTCAAATAGGGTCGGTAGATTTAGTTTTCCACCCAAAAAGAACTAGGTGAACCACATCTTCTTAATTATATTAATATTCTATAATACTAATTCCAACTTTAAAAAAAAATCTTTAATACTACAAAACCGTTAAACAAATTCTGTTGAACTTCATTTGAAGTAGTAGGTTTTAAGGATTATTTTTCACTTTTTGTTTCTTTTTTTACCAGTATGGCTACTAAAGTGTGACTGCAACTATTTTCCCCTTCAAGATATATATGAATACCCATATAGTTTATATTTTCTATGAAGTTTGACAATTTGTCTATTTCTATTCTTTTTGAAATAGAAAAAATATAATAAATATTTCGACCATATTAAACAAAACCTTATCGGTCCAGATTTTATAATAAATTGTAGCAATTAATTTTTATTAATTTAAATTACGCTATAGATATGTACATTATTGCTTATATTTTATTATCTCTAACTTGATTTCTACTAAATTTAATGATATAAACGTTTGTCCTGAAATTTATGTTACCTTCAAAATATATAAATAAAGTTGATTACACATTATAAACTTAAAAGCCTCTGAGTATGACATCACATAATAAGATTAATTTAAATGCTATCAGCAAGTAAGATTTATCTACTAAAACGTTTAAAGTATAATGCTTCTGCAATGACAAGTTTCAGTAAAAACACTTTTAAATTAAAGCATAAATAGACAATATTATAAATGAAGGAACCTTTATTGGAATGTATTCATAAATTAAATTAGGACACAATTAAGTACTACTTTTGAAGTATCATATCTGTATTTGATTTTTTATTAATATTTCTACATCAATTTCTCAAGGTGTGAATCATATAAAATATAAAATGGCTTCCAGAATAGGGTGGTTCGGCTGTACCCTTTTTAGTTTTTTGCTTGATTTGGCGGGAACACTTTCATGCCTCCAGATAGATACAATTAATAAACGGCAAACTAACTTTACATTCTATACCATAGTGAGTCCTTTGCTTAAACTTTCCACGTGTTCTTTCGCTTTCATTCTAAGTGCGGCTATAGATGATGAGCGGGGGTCGGGCGGTGCGGGGGGTGCGGGCGGCGCAGGAGCAGGTGGCGTTAGATAACTAGGGTAACCAGACGGTGGGTGGCTCAAGAAACCTGAAAAATAAAATAATTATTTTATTAACAATTGATTAAATAAAATAGAGAAATTTAAATATTATTGACAAAAAAATATGTAAACAGCTAAGTGTTTCAAATTTGTTAGTTGGCATATTTAAATGAAGTTATCACGTGAACACTACTTGACTGATTTAAACGAGCATAAATACGTTTACGTTGGGATATAGTTATTTAAGTGTATATACCTTCCTGATAAGTATGTATTATTATTTCATATCACACAAGACTTATTGTCATTGACACATATAACAGCAGTAAAAACATACTGAGAAAATCGCTAGGTAAAACAGATGCACATAAAGCAAAAAAATATATCTACTTAATACCTATATATGCTGCCATAAGTTGTATAGCAATTATAATTCAGATGCGGTACTAAACAATATTTACCAGGTAATGCTGTCAGCAACGGTGGTGCCAGCCATGGGTCCACTGGTAAACCGAGACCACTAAGTCGCGGTATAGCGCCGCCTGCACCACATCCATATTCTGATAGTCCCAATCGCGCTGCTTCCATCTTTTCTTGGCGACGCCATTTAGCACGACGATTCTGGAACCACACCTGTAAATAACAATAGAATCTAATAAATCACACACACATGACATAGGCTAACCTTTAGGCTAATCACAAGTGTATGACATGACATCTATACAATGTGAGCGAAATTAAAAGTTTAACTTATTACATCTGTCATTTATACAAATCTTCATGCTGTTAAAATAAAAAAATGTGCACGTTTTGGAATTGATTTCATTTGTCTCTAAGTATAGTCAAGTACGTCAGGTTATATAAAACTGTAAAAAATCGATTTTAAACCTCAATACTTAGATTTTGATTACCCGTTGAGGGTAGAGGTCAAAATCTATTGTAAAAAATTGACTTATTATACTAACTTGACGTACTGTATGTATTTGGCTATGCAAAATCACTAATTAACATAAAAAAATGATTTCAATTGTCAAAACCAACTTGAAATTTTAAATGAAGATAGATCTACTGTGTCCATATCCACATTAATAGAAGACTCGTATATAGGTGTCATCATTTTTGAAGTACAAGCTTCGATTACACGGTGAGTCATGTTATTTCATGTTTAGGTGGCACATTCGTTACTTCAGATTTACAGTATAACACTTGAATTGGGATCTGGGCGATATATATGATGTTGTCTTATATTTATTTACTTAAGTTATAAAATGTGCAATCACATTCATTACTTGATGAAAAATGAATCGTAAACAAACACAAGGAACATTTGAGAATAGAAGTTTAAGCTAATTAATGTGCCACAATATATTATAACAAACTTTGTGACCCCACCGAGCTTCATACCGTTAAAGCTTAGCTAATAAATCAACGAAAACACGTCACTTCTAAACAGTTTCGAGGCAGACATAACAAAACTAACTTCGAATATGGGAAAGCATGAAACACGAACTCAATCACATAAACGGTGTACCATCATTGTGCCATGCACCCTAATACAATTTTTTTGTTAGCCCAAATAGGTTCTTAAATTTATGATATTAAAGTTTATATTAGTTTCGTTTATAAAGTATGTATATGATATGAATGTGGTGTCAAATTGTAGTGTGAAATGATATATTCGTGGGGGTCGGTGGAACGGTAAAAATACGAGTCGTTCGCGTGTTCGTTTCGATTTCAGTATGGAGACAGCGAGTTAGTAGCATGCGAGCTTTGATGCCACTACTGTCACAAACATTAAGAACGTTTGACAATGTGGAGACACGAGTGTGGAACTTCAACGACACTGTAATGTGTTCAGACGATATGAAATACTCTGACAATTTGGCTTGTTTGACCTGGGCTCAGCTCTAAAATGCGAATTAAAGGTTAAATACAACTGTCGGTATTTCACACACATACGGACTTCGCAATATGACCATTGAGCCTTGACATAATTTTATACATTGATAAAAAAAAGAACCTATTACTTTTACGTTGCATTTTGAAAGTAAAAAATATTTTTCATATTGTATAGTCAAATTGTTGGCTAGTATTAAAAATAATAGCAGTCCTTTTATATAACTAGTGGCAAAGTAGAATAGGCAATGTGAATGCAAAATTGACCAAATTTTACAAAAAGATATTTATTTATTATAACTACCAACCTAAGGCACAATTCTGAAACTGCTAGTTACTATGTATTATATGTAACTAACTGGTAGTATTATAAGATTTAATACTCCGACAGTTGAGAAGATGGCTTTGGCCATTTTAAGAGTTACCAAAAAGTGAATGTTGACACATCACAGTTGTCAAAGATATCTAAATATATGTAACTCGAAGGTCACTGACTGACATAGTGATCTATCAACGCACAGCCCAAACCACTGGACGGATCGGGCTGAAATTTGGCAGATAGGTAGATGTTATGACGTAGGCATCCCCTAAGAAAGGATTTTGATCAATTCTGTCCCCAAGGGCATACAATAGGGGATGACAGTTTGAATGAAACTTTATTTCAGGTATTTTACACGATATAATGAATAAATATTCGTTAGAAATGCTGCTCAAAGTAACTTTACCACGCGGACAAAGTCGCGGGCAAAGGCTAGTTAATAATATTGCCGTAATGCAATATTTTGTATATATAGTTAGAACGCCTTAAAGCGCCAAAATGCTAAAAGGGGGACAGTAGATCTTTTGCCCTACCCATAGCTAGATCAAAACCACGATTTAAATGTCCTAGAATGTACTCTGATTCTGATTCTGTTTATACCTGTATATTTCATAATCAATACAAGCATTATTTATTTATACATTTAAAATTTTGGTACGACAAATAAGTGGTCTATAATCACAAGTTTAGATCACGTGCCAGTATTTGCGATAACTCGTTAACTACGTTTCGCTGTTTCTTGCATAATTAATTACTAATTGACATTACATCGTACTGCATACACTGTATTGTTACATTGTGTAATAAAAACACGTCATTGATAATTTGTGTTGATAACAATCTTGTAATCGTTCCATTTGATATATGAAACCCGCAAGATAATTATGACTGCATAATGTCAAAAATCCATTATGGCACTTTTAATATTAAAATATTTTGCTAGACTACAAACTTGTCTTTAAGCGCTAATGAATGTCAAATTTGTATAGGTGATGTCGCTTTATTCTATCGACAGTTTTAATGGACGTTTGGGCAACTGGCTGAATCATCACCAGCCTATTAATGCCTTTTAAAGCCTGATCACCAGCAGTGGGGGCTCAGGCCTTCCCTATGGATGGAATCGAATCGAATCGAATAGGTAAAATTCAAGATAATATTATTTTGGTCACTCAGCCTATGGCCGGCCATTGCAAAAGTTGCTTAACAACCGTATCGCAAACCGAGAGCACTAGCCATTACGCCATCGAGCTCCTCAACTGGCTGTTATACCATTTAATTATCTATTCATTATTTGTTTCCATTGAATTTGTATTATCCACTTTCTTGAATTAACAAATGTAAGAAAGTAAGTGCGTCTTATATTAATTCACAAATAAGTTAAACTTGTAAGGGTTGCGTGTTTTAGTCGTTAAGGACGTGTGTGATAACCCTGCATGAAGTATGGTGTCTGTTTGTGCCACGGAGCGCGGGGCGTCCAACAAAAATATTCAAGTCTTGTTTATTTATGTTCCGTATCCCACTTCATAAACGGTTAAAACTTTAAGTTGTTTATTAATTTTTATAACTATAGACAAATTAACGCTTTTCATCAATCGGAGGAGTTGCCGTAGAGAACTTAATGACATTTTTGGGTAATTCGGCCAAAATCAGTTTCGAAATAAGACTAAGCAACAATTATTTAGCAGTTGCGTCGTCGAGATTTGTGTGAAGATTTAACAAATATTTATCGTCCATTTATTTATAACTCGTTTATCATCAGCCCTTTTACATCTCCACTGCAGGGGCTCAGGTTTCCTTATGGATGGTTAAAGAAGCTACTCATCAGTGCCCCATCAAAACAGTAACATATACATGCAAACTGGCTTACAATGATTAAAATGCAAAATATTATTTATGTGGATTTGTAGTTTCTAACCACTGCAGATGCAGTAGGGACTAACGAACGGCTTAACCCGCCTTCCGAAGTATAGATAATAGTATTTTGGTCACCCAACCTATACTTAACAGGACTGACGAATCCTTCAAGCACTTGTTACTTTTCGCTACTATTCTCATCAATAGAGCGTATTCTCATCAATGTTCAGGCATCCACCCAAACAGCCAAAAGAAATATTGTTACAAATATTGAAACTTTCGATAAAGATGAGAATTTTGTTCTAATGCAAAATTAATCAAAATATAATAATTGGTACAATTGACTGTTTAAATGACGAAAAACCCGTTAACTATCTTAACTGTCGTAGTACATTAATGAGATTAGTCGTAAAAGTTGTGTAATTTGCAATTATTATTTCCCCTAAATTAACTAATAAAAATACAGTAGAACTACATAGAAATGCTCTTTGACTGTTTCTAACAGCTAATTTGTAGCGTTTGTGCAGTAATAAGCGGCGACACGCAATACCAAAGTTTGGAACGTTGCGGTGTCAACTATGGCTCGTTTACCCTACTTAGTTAAACGTTCACGTCTAAAACAGATTCAATATCTGGATTAAATAATTTTTATGATTTTTATTGCAGTAAAATATAATAACGAATACATTTCTAAGTATTTTTATTTTAAGATTGTGATTATTTTACTGGAATGTTTTATAATTCACCGTAATTCAAGCTTTTACAGTACTATAATAATCACGTAATAGCAAAATGTGAAAATTACATTTTGAGGTCAACGTGGGTGAGAATTTTATTTTGTATATAGACTATGAATATTTTTATATAACATTATTTTTTTATGGGATAGGGGGCAGACGAACAGACGGATCACCTGATGGTAAGTGATTACCGTCGCCCATGGACACGTGCAACACCAGAGGGGTTACAAGCGCGCTGCCGGCCTTTGAGGGACGAATATGCTCTACGCTTGAAAGTTTGAAGGTCGTATCGGTCCGGAAATACCGCTGGTGACAAACTATTCCAGAGTTTGACTGTGCGAGGCAGGAAACTTCTAGAAAAACGCACAGTTGAGGACTTCCAACCATCCAAATGATGGGCGTGGATTTCTTGTCGCGTGGATTATTCTATTTAGACAGTAATTTTTTGTTTCAGTTTACATTAAAAGATGACTTAGTTTATCACTGCTTTACCGCAGGCGGTACCACGCGGGCAAAATGCGGATTATTGAGTGTTATAGACCAGTCTTTGTGAAAGAAGCTTAAACGTCGCATCGCAGAGCGAATGCACAAACAATAAGCCATCACTAAATACATATGTATGTGTTTGCAAAAACCAAAATTTCTTATGTTTTTTGAACATATTGTTATGTTTTTTTAACATATGAAAGAGTACCTAAGAAGTACATTTTTAAAACTTAATTATTTAGTTCATGTGTAATATAACATAGTAGTCACAAGACAACAATGGTTTACACTGTTAGTTTGTCAGTGTCCCTGTCGCGATAATTATGACATACCGCTAGTTCTTATATAAAATTTACTTCATGACTTCACTATTTGTTCTTGCAATGTTAATTTGGAGGACTGTTATATAACAAACATAATTAGGAGCGACAGGTGACTTACGAACAAATAAGGCTAAAAAACAGAGTTCTTTAACGCTATATGTATATGTAAGTAAAAAGGGCACTTCCATAACCTATAGTCCATACTAACATTATAAATAGGAAAGTGCGTTTGATGGTTCCTTCCGTATGTATTTTTAGAGTAAATATAGTTGTCAGGTCTAAATGTAACATATGTTGTCAATATAGTTTACATTACATTTTTACGACGATGGTGAAGCCGGGGGTAAAAGCTAGTAGTAAAGTGGAAAGAGAGCCATTTAGTTTATTCATTTTAGTAGTAAATTTGAAAGTTAAATTCATGTTCTCATAGTGCTTATAAGAACTTATGATACGTAAAAACATTAGCATAGGAAGTTTTGTAATGTTATAAGTCTAAAATTTCTGTGCTTAATTTCAATAATCGGAATCTGACGAGCTGATGAACATCAAATCTGAACTTATCATTTTGGCTTTAACGGCGGGAAAATATGAGCCATGTAATTTAAAAGATTTTTTGAATCGTTGAAATATTTTTATTTAAATATTCAATATTTCCATATAAAGTTTTTAAGCATAAACGATAATTAAGTTCTTTAGAAGAAATACAAGTCCTCATAGTTTACCAAACAAAATTAAAATGTTTTAACCCAAACGATTTCCATGTTACATTTATTTGATCACCAACATTTTTCGAGATTCAATTACAATTACAAAGGATAAGTCAAAATAACAAGCTCCACCCTCGCCAAATGTCAAATCAAAAAACAAACTTCACAGTAACAATGGCGGGTAAATATGACAGATGTCAGATATGCACTTG